GGGGGGGGAAAGGGGGGGGGGGGAAAAGGAGAAGGAAAGGGGGGGGGGGAAGGGGAGGAGGGGGGGGGGGGGGGGGGGGGTCGGCAGTGGGGGTGAGTTTTTTTCTGGACCAGCAACAATGGTAAAGACTCGCCGTGCTATTCGGTTTTCTCGTATCCTGCTGTTGTTTCTGGATGCGGGCAAGGCTTGTCGCCATGCATCGACAAAAGGACGGCCGTCCGCCGCGTACAGCGTGCGTGCTAAGGTAGGTGGTGTCTCAAAAGCCAAAAAGCAGAGCTGTTCAAGAGGACATCAACAATAGAAGGGGACCATGGAACAGACACCGGGAAGAGGAAACAGCTTGCAGGAGGGGGGGCCTTAAACGTCGAGAAAGAGGGAGCGATTGTGATGATATTGTAGGGAAGGGCGCGGTAACCTTATCTGCATTAACATAAAATAGCACAAAACAAAACCCCACCGGCGTTGGGTACGCACGCACGCACACACACACACACACACGTATCCCCTCCACTCACCACATCAGCAAACAAAACCAAAATACTCGCGAGCTAAGCCGGCAACCAAGCAACCGCACCAATGAAACAGCACACACTATTAATACACGTCCCTCCCCCCATTTCAACTTCCCCTCCCCTCCGGCTACAGCACAGCGAGAGAAAAGAAACCAAGTCCCCCCCCCCAAACAAAAACACGACACATACAACATAACATCATCAAGACACGCACAAGGAAATCTTGCTGAAGGTGAGCGGAAGGACCGCGAAGAAGGTGGTGCAAGCTCCTGCAAAGGTCGGCCACAGCAGCTCCGTCAGCGTCTGCGCCACGCGGTCGTCGCGGTTGTCGCCGGCCGTGAACAGGAAGCCCCTTCCGATGTGCGCCGTGAACTCCACCACGAGACCCACCTACATCACGGCAACAAAAAAATACCATGGTAACATACCCATACGGTAATTGATTTGGGGAGTTTTTGTGCTCCTGATGTTGTTGTCCTTCACATTAAAAACCGCTCCGCTTAAGAAGAGGACGTTGGGCGTATGTGTTCGTCCCATCGATTCTGGCGCCAGTCTATACCACACCAATCGGCGTACATATCTCTGACCAATCAGACGGGGTGAAGGCCACACAGGAGCTTTTGCGACGGCAAGAACGGGATGCGCGCGGTGTGTGCATACATATATATGCATATTCTGCAGCACGTGTTCGGCTACGCCTGAAGAACGGCACAAGGAAACAGGTCCACCTCAAATGGCCCATGTTGCGACCATTCCCCTCTCCTTGGATTCATTTGGGCCGCCCGAAGCGACTCTTCGGCGCAGCAAAACCGACTGTTCGACGGGCGGTGGAGTCTACTTGTTGTTGGTGAGGGTGGCTGCAAACATGTCGTACAATAGTGGGTTTCGTCTCACCATGACGCAAAGGTTTACGATGGTGAAGCCGTTCAAGCCCACATCCAGAAGCGTCAGGAACCCGAAAACCTGTGCGTTCCGTGTTATGTAGGTCAGACACATTTTGGCGAGGAGGAAAAAAAAGAAAAGAGAAGGAAGGCGTTGTTTTTTGGTTGAGACACAAGATGAGGGCAACTCGAGCATGTTTGGCGAGGCCAAGAGATGTTGCCGTTGTTGGCGGCGTTTCGCTTAGACCATATTCCTTATTGTCCCCGTGTTCCTGTGCGACGAAAGAGTGGAATGGTGTGTGCCCTCGAGAACGATGACTCTTCTGCAAGTGCACACCCGGCCCTACATAAAACGACCTTCGCCCTATTGCTCGTGCTTGCCGCACAGGAGCAGGCGAGAAGGCCCCGGGGGGGGATCGTGGCGTGCTTGTGGTACGGCGGGTAAGGGCAATCACCTATTTACTACCCCAGAAGAACGGATCCAGACAAAAAAAAAAAGAAAGTCCGTCATCGTGGGCAAGGAACACCACCTGGGGGGAGGGAGAGCGATCATCGGGCTGGCTCCACAACATACGTCTAAAGGTCAGGTACCATACACGCCGGCGAGATAAACAAAAACGCACCCACCCACGACGACAACACCTGCTGTACGTCCCGAACCGACCCTTATCCTTACAGAAGTATGCCGTGCGCGATTTGTCGTTCGGTGTGAATGTTGTGTCTAACAGCATTAACATTCCCACCGAACAAAAAGAAAGCAGGCTGTCGACTGTGGTGGTCACACAGAAAACTGTTCCGATTTCTGTCCCGGTGCCTTCCTTCCAACACCTAAACCCGGCCCCAACCGACGCGGGCGCATGTCGTGGTCGCAGACTAAACCCCATCCGCTGCGAAGGGCATTCGTTCGGCGAGGTTAAGCACAGTCCAGTGCAGCAGTGCTGACGACAGATAGCAGGAGTATCACCTGAAGCACCACCATGATGATGGTACCGGCCATGAGGAGGCTGATCGTAAGGCTCCCCTGCAGCACGGCGATGATAACGGCGACCATCACCGCCCCACCGCCCACCACCCAGAAGAGCATCTGCCACGAGTAGAGGTACTGCGACTGCAGAGCGAACCTGCCCGGGAACAAAACAAAAAAAAAAGAGAGGGAAGGAAGGAAAGGAAAAGGCGCCAAGAAGAGCAATCAACAACATTGCAAGGTGACGGAGAGGTTACCTCAACTCAAAAACAACGCGTAGTGGGCTAGCTGTTGGGGTCGTCGATGTTGAGCCGTGGAAATGTTCGTCTGTGTTGGGGCGATAAGGTCAAGTCGTGGAGGTGGGGCAAAGCTCGAGCGGGATTTCGGCGTCAGAAAGTTCTCAGAAAGTTCTCATTAGAGGACTTTCCAGAAAGGCTAACCGCACCGTCAAGAGCGGCATTTCACATCGCATCGCCATCCCGCTGTCAACACGTTAATGAATCGGAAAATCGACCCAGCGGGGCTTGTGGAATCCTGTGCGCCGAATGCCGTAGCGTGTTCTAGCTGCCATCGAAGCAAACTGATATCCACGGGCTTTGCGGATGCAGCAGACCCCCTGTGTCCGTGCGTCCCCCCCCCCCCATCAGCGTCTCTTGTCTGCATGTCTGTTGTTGTGGTGTCCTCACGTGTCACTGTAGGCAAAGGTGTCCCTGTCTGGATCAACGCTGTCCACCGCTTCCCTCATGTCTCTGAACATCTTCACGTTATTCTCCCTTGTCGTCTGCAAAAAAAAAAGGGGTAAGCCGCAGTACATACACACGGCAAAAAAAGGGAAAAAAAGGAAAAGGTGCTTGTCTTGCCAGGATACATGCACGGACACGTAAACGTGAACTTGAAGTCAAAACGTGATTCCCCATTAACATTCAAGAGATATTATAGCAGGGTTACAGCAGTGGTGTGTTGGTGAATAATGACCGGTGCCGAGGTTCAAGTGCCTTCCTTATACTTGTATAATAACAGTACACATACACACACATGAGGGGCCCCAGATCATGGCCTAGTCTATATACTTCGAAGTATTGCATTTTCATTTTCTGTTTTCAGCTGCAGCCGGGTAGCGCGATCGATGACAACAAAAACACACAGAAATGTGTTAGTTAGCACGTGTGTGGGAGAGATGGCCCCCTGTCAATGTATCCCCCGCCGACAGGACCTCGAAGATCTTCGACCTTCAAAGGCTAGCATATCAACCTCCTCTCACAGGCATGCTGCTCTCCGTTTAATAGACGTTCCCTTTTCCCCTTTCTCATTTCTTCCATGTAAAAAGCACCTGGTCATGAACGTAGAGGAGCTATTGCACTGGTACCAAGTCTGCTGTTCCGCTGCTGTCAAAACAACGACCAGAGATTCGCGTCGTGTCATCATGCGGTGGGACGACCTCCAACATTGTCATGTCATCATCTTCACGTTCCTCTAGGCCTTGTTTGTTTTCCTTTTTTTTTGTGCTGTACAATACCTGGTCGTGCACGTAGAGGAGCTGCTGGCTGGCCTTGATCACGGTTGTATCCGGGTCGAACTCCGCACAATCCACGCGGGGGCCGTCGGTCCTGCTCGGTCAAGGTCAAGGTCAAGGTGCTCGGTCAAGGTCACACCACAATGCCAAGATAAGACAAGACAAGACCACGCCGCCACACGGACAACACCAGCACCAGCGTCGACATTTTCGAAACACAGCAGTAGAAAAACAAGCTGCACGACCACACCACACACACACGGCCAACACCAGCACCTACCTCGTCTCTTTCGTGTCTGGGTGTCGCCTGTTGTAAGTATTGTGAACAGGTATGTATTCTTCTTCAACAGACGTTGGGAGAAAAAAATATTTCTCAATTTTTTTTTGTCTCCCAAACATCTGTTGAAGAACGCTTGTTCACAATACTTACAATTAGGGGCCACCCAGAGATAAAAAAAAGAGATCGGGTACGTGGTGATACACAAAAAGAGGAAGGGAGTCGTGTACAACGTGCACGAAGAAAAAAGGGAAGAGGAGGATGCAGTCCGTTCGCACTACTTTACAATCGAGAATTTTGCACACGCATTCATACGTGTCGACAAAAGGCAGGGTGGACCAGGAACAAGTGTGGCAGCAACACACCCGTCATGATCGCGTGCGCTGAAAAAATTAAAAGCGTCTACGACAAAACGAAAAAAAAAATCGTGGAAATACAGGTAGCCTTCGCTGACGCTATGGATTCATTGCCGATCTATCTCAAGACTCTTTTCTTAGATAGAGATGGATTCGTCGGGTCATATTAGAAAAATAAAAAATACCCCATCTATATGCTGTGGGTGCGCTTTGCAAAAACGAAAAAAGGGGGCCGAAAAAACATGCCAAACATGTGCTTACGAGCGAGCGAGAGACCGAAAAAAACGAGACCCTCACCCTTCGGCGCAGTAGAAGTTGTTGGCGCTTGTGACCCCCTGCCCCTGGATCCATTCCGCGAACCTCTCGTTGAACTCATCCGCTGGAATGATCTGCCAAGAAGCAGAACAACAACAAAAATAATAATGAATCGGTTTTTTTATCTACCAGTCTGGCTGGCGACCACTGCGTAGCCGTTGAAAAATACGAAAATAGCGATGGGGGTGCGCCACGCATGATAGCCCACTCTTACCGGTGTCCTACACACAGTACTTACAAGCAGTACCCCTTCAACAAGAAGGGACCGCAAATAATCCAGCGCCATCAACCATTTCAAGAGACGAAAGAAACGGCCAAGCCTTCACCCACACATCCTCGAACACCAATTGATCACTTCATGACAGGTCGGTGCATGGCGGGTACATGCGTCTGTCTCTTCCTCTCGATGGCCATGGCAGGTAGACCGTCATGGGGCAGGATAATTTTACCCTACGCATGAGTTGTTGTTGCCGCTGCAGTAATCTAACGTGTTATAGTACGATAGGAACCAACCCTTAGTTCGGATAATTGGTGTATGGGGTTGTCTCAACACAGACAGTGCCCCGGAGCTATCTACCATCCGCAAGTTGGGTTATCTTCGTCTCTGCGTACGGTACTTGGTTGTCCTAGCCTCTTGTCTCTCTCACCTCCTCCGTCGGAGTGAGCAGCGACGAGAAGGAGTCGGCCAGCCAAGAGTTGTCCTTGATCGTCGAAACATCCGAGACCCACTCGACGTCCTGTCGACGACGCACCAAGGCACCAACCAAGTCGTCGTTTTCAACAGGCATCGAAACAAGCCAAAAATCAGGTCAGCGTCGATCGAGTGGAACAGATAGATCTAAGCGACAGCGTCAAGCCGGAACACAAAATCAAACACACGACAAAAAAAAAAAATACACGCACGAACTCATCAACCCAGGCCACCCGGCAATTGAGGTGCACAAGAGGTAACCTCACACCAAAACACCGAGGCACAAAGAAGCTGAACACGGACAAACCAAGAGCAACCGAATTACGACTATTAACAGGAACCAATCGAAAGAAACGCAAATAATTAAGTCAGGAGGGACGGAGGAGACATGGAAGACTAGATTGGCTTGCGCATATTGCTGTATACGCGGACCCGACCAGGTATATGTTGAAATGAAAACACACGCGTTTTAGTTCTGTAGACCCAATAACATCAAATCAAGTCAAGGCGAGCAAGAACGACAACACAGAAAATCAAAGAAAAATAACACAACAAAACGTCGCCGGCGCAGACACCAGCACCCGCCGACTCCGGCACCATGCAACGGCAACAACAACAACCAGACAAGACAAGCCTGACGACTCGAAACGAAACCCCCGGGAGTGCCGAATGTACCTGAACAACATCTTGCATCTCGAGAAGCGTCTCCTGGTAAGTGCCGAAGTCAACCTCCTTCGTCACGAGCATGACGGACTGCCCGAATAAAACCCCAACAGTCGGAAAGAACCCAAGGATCCATCACGAGATTTACATCAGTGAAGAGAGGCAAACAGACAGGACAGAAGTAGCAGGGAGCGGGCGAGACACGATCCGAGCGGACAGATGCACAAAACAGCACGCGCGAGAAGACGGAGGGGGGAGGCATGAGGCATGAGGCATGAGACGCGATCTGGCGGCTTTTAGGGTCGTTTTGGAGTACCCGCGCCAGCCGTGTGCTTGAACCGAAGCCACGTTGCGGTACATACTGATCCGGAAAACACATACCCTTAACAGTCTCTGAAGCAAGGGGATTACAACTTCTGCCTTGAAAATATTTACGTCGACGTGGAGACGATGATACGAAAAACGCCTCTCCCCTTTACAACACCAAACGCTGCCAAAACACCAAAGTATTAATCTCTGTTCGACCAGGCAGCATGTAGATACCCAACGCGTGAAAAATGTACGTAGCGTGAAAAATGTAGCGTATCATTCCCCTTGTTCAAGCCTCACGAGCACTCACGGATGCATCGAACTCTGTCTCGAAGACGGAGAGGAAGCTGTTCTGGTACGACCCTTCCACGGCGAGCGTGTTCAGCCCCACCCCGAGCTTGATCTCGCTGAACCCGAGCCTGCGACAAAACACGCACGCACACACACACAAACACGCACACAGCCCGCACTGAGAGACTGACTGACTGACTGACTGACTGACTGACTGACTGACTGACTGACTGACTGACTGACGTATTCTAACAGATCAGCCGGTTAGCGCGGTCGGCATAATTAATAAAGACACACACACAGGGACCCCCTCTGACTAAACAAGAAAGCGCGTTCGCGTTTCGTGATCCCGTCATGCGACCGACGTCCCCGTCATCCGCCAGCCGGATCAGCCCGGTCGATGCTAACAAAAAAACAAACGCACACCCACGCTAACGCTAACGATTCGACAGAGTAGTTAGTACGGCACAACTCAACGCGGCCAGGCCGCAACAACCAATCAACAACCAGGGGTACCGAACCCCGGAATCCTTACACCCCCGGTTGAGTACCAACCACGACACCCCCCGAGACGGCCGGCGGTATGTACACCGGCGAGCATTAACTCTTGCTTCAAAGCAGTCTATGTACTTCAAAGCAGTCTAATAACTCACCAGGCGAGGGCGGCCGTCATGGCGATGGCGATGACGATGACGAGGGTCTTGAAGATCTTGTTGCGCACCAGCGGCGCATAGAACTTCTCCACAAACTATTTACAGTATAGCGGTGCCAGCGACCGGGTCGATATGTGTGTGTAGCAGAAATTAGCCGCGGGCACGTACAAGAGAGACGCAAACCCAGGAGGGAGTGGTAAGAGGGGGGTCCCGCCGAATAGATGGAGCAAGGCCATTGTGCGTTCAGGAGAGGGATAGTGGGAGCTATACCGTTACCATCACATTCGCATGGCTAGCACCAGCCCATCACAACAAATGCATCGAATGATCATGGTTGAAACCCGATCCGCGAAGAAGGCGTTAGTCAGTTCGGAACATTTCACATACGCGAAAACGAAAACACAAAAACACACATGGTACTGAATGCATACATACCCGCTGGGTGTTGTTGGCGCACGCGAACTCGGCCTCAGGCAGGATGCCCTCCGGGCTTAGCTTGATCAAGAACATGTCCGACCTGTTAGCCGCCACCCTGATCGAGTCCCAGTACCTGATGCAGCACCAGACACACACGCAAAACAAAAAGTAGGCGTGTCGCCCGAAAGAGGAAAATGAGAACAAACCGAGCGACGGCGAAACGGCAAGAGGAAAAGGCGGCACGAAAGGCGTCGGGACCAAGGTGGCAAAAAAAGTTGATGGAGACAACTCCTCAAGGCGAGACTATTTTCTTACAAAAAAAAGGGCGAAGCCCATCAAAAGGCGGCAGACGCACACGTCTCGGTCACTGTGCACATCGACGCAAATTTAGGGGCAAGTTAGGCAGCATGAGCAGCGAAACAAGCAGCTGCTGCGCCCGGACGGCGGAATCGGTCGTCGCGTCGTCTTGAAAAAAGGAGAAAAATTACCCAAAACCTTGGGGGAGAAGCACCACGAGGGGCAACAAAAAGCGGGGAGAGCAGTCACTGCACCGAAAGCCCCTACAGTACATATCCGCTCACAGCAAACCAAAAAAAAAATACCGGCGATTTCAGAGACAAGCAAACGACACGCAAGGCAGGCAGGCTATTATACTGCGTGCGCAGGGGACAGACAACAAATAACAACACAAGAGTAGTACACCAAAACGACGGCCTCCCGTCGTCGCGGCTACCGCGCTGACAACACACAACAAGCGTACCACACGGCAGCAGCAGGTAAGCGGCGGCAGCAGTCTCAACACTACTCTCACTCTCACATCAATGGCAGCAGCATGAGGTGCAGGAGGACGAGGTGGAACAGCATCTGGAAGCCCATGTGGAGGGCGAAGTACCGCACGGTGAGGATGTTCACCGCGGAGGCGACCAGGAAGCAGCTGGCCACGGCGATGGACGTGACAGTCACCGAGGGACCGGCGTGTACGAGGGTGGTGACGAGACGCCTCCGGGGGTCTCCGGGGGAGTCCGTGGTGTGCACCTGAGAGATAAGGACGGCAACGATGAGAAGCGAGCCATTGCGGTGTTGTATCGAAGGAGGCAGGGGGGGGGGGGGGGGGGGGGGGGAAAAAAAAAAATTTGGCCCCCCAAAAATAAACGGAAAAAAGAACCCCCCTTTTGGGGTTTTTACTAAAAAAGGGGGCGGGGGGGGGGGGAAAATTTTGGGG